CATAGGACAGGAACAGCAGTTCATGAAAGAAGAAACAGTAGTTAGCCAATGATAACAAGCGTTTTGACCATAATTACTAATAGTAGAAGAAATGCAAATTAAAATTACAATACATATCAAACTGCCAAGATATTTTACTTATTAAACAAGAATGTCCAGTTGCGATAAGAGTTTGATGAAGCAGGTGTTCTTATTACATTTGATACTTCTTATGGGAGAGCAATTTAGCAGAGTATACGAAGGGCTTAAAAAGTTTATACTCTTTTGGCCAGGCATAGTGGTTCATGCCTGTAATCCTAGCACTCTGGGAGGCCAAAGCAGGAGGATCCCTTGAGGTCAGGAGTTCAGGAACCAGCCTGAGCAAGAGTGAGACCCTGTCTCTACTAAAAATGGAAAAAATTAGCCGGGCGTGGTGGTGCACACCTGTAATTCCAGCTACTTGGGAGGGTGAGGTGGGAGGGTGAGGCAGGAGGATCACTGGAGCCCAGGAGTTTGAGGTTGCTGTGAGCTAGGCTGATGCCACGGCACTCTAGCCCAGGCAAGAGTGAGACTGTGTCTCAAAAAAAAGTTCATACTTTTTGACCCACTAACTTTTTTTCACCATTACTGTCTGACCTAAGTATTACAAAATGAGGACAGATTTTTTTCAATATTTAAGGATGTTCACCATAATGTTTTTTATAATAATGAAAATGTTTAGCCAACAATAGGAATTCCTTTAAAAGTAATGCAATGTTTGCTAAGTTTTAATGGCATGGAGAAATACTTATGGTAAGAAGCAGAGGGAAAATGGGATAATGAAATATACGTGTACAGTCACCATGCTTAAAAAATAGCATAGAAAAAAAGGAAAAACCATGCTATTGGTAGGGTAATTTATATTTTTATTGCCTTTATATCAGTATATTATAGTTTTTTTATCATGAGCATTTATTTTATAATCAGACAAAAGGTAAATGACTAAAGAGAAAATAAAATTCTTATGACTCATTTGAAATTTTTGAACTAACACTAAAATGCCCCATTTGCTCACTATTTATGAAGAGACAATGGTTCATTTCCTGGATATATTTATTTTAAAGAAAATGCTTTAATGTTCGTTAATGAACGCATGGAAAGAAACTGAAACTTTGGAATGAATTTCAAGATCATACCTTATTTATTTTCAGTATGTAAAATAAAAATATGAACTTTTGGTGTTGAAATTAAACATTTAGATACCAAAATGAGATGGATGTTACAAGAAAACTGCGGATCAGTACCACTCATGAACATAGATGCAATATCATTAACAAATCAAAAGCAAATTGAATTTAGCAATTCATAGAAAGGATAATTAATACATCATAACCAAGTAGGATTTATTTCAGAATGCAAGATTAGTTTCACATTCAAAAACCAATTAGTATAATAGATCATATCAACAGCAAAAAAATTGGTTCAGAAAAAAACATAGGACAAAATAAATCCCAATATCCATTCATGGCAAAAATTCTCAAGCTAGGAATAGGAGGGGGCTTCCTTCACCTGATCACCTGATCAAAGGTGAAGGTATGTGAAGAACCTATAGTAGGTATAATACTTAATGGTGAAAAACTAAATGCTTTCACCCTCAGTCTTAGATGGAAGATCCATGTGGCCTTCTAGATCCTTAAGTGTGGCCTTTTGACTGAATTCAAATTTTAATAAAGGGATTTCCTCTTCAAAGTTTGGATTCCATCCAGGGACCTCACTTGGGGATCTGGAGGGCCACGTGTGGCCTTGAGGCTGCAGGTTCCCCATCCCTGCCCTAAGATCAGGAACCAAGGCCAGGATGTCCAGTCTCATCGCTTATATTCTTCATTGTACCTGGCCAGCACGGTAAGGAAGGAAAAAAGCCAAAAGGCATACAAATTGGAAAGGAAGAATTGAAACTGTCTTTATTTGCAGACAACATGATCATGATCTTTTCTGTAGAAAATCCCAAAGAATCTACCACAAAAAGCTACTAGAACTATGACTGAATTTAACAGAATCACAGGATACAAGGTCAATATGCAAAAAGTAGCTGTACTTCTATAAACTACCAATGAATAATTGAAAGTTGAAATTTAAAAATACCACTTACAGTAGCATCAAAAAAACTGGAGCTAGGCGTGGTCCCAGCTACTCAGGAGATTTAGGCAGGTGTTCTGGGCTGTAGTACACTATGCCAATCAGGTTTCCACAGTAAGTTCACATCAATGTGGTGACCCTCTGGGAGTAGGGAACCACTGGATTTTCTAAGGAGGGGTGAACAGGCACAAGTCAGAAATAGAGCAGGGATTTCAAAAAACTCCTTCGCTGATCAGTAGTGGTATTGCACCTGTGAATAGCCAGCCTGTACAACATAGTGAGAACCTGTGTCTTTTAAAATTAAAACAAAAACAAAAAAAACCTGAAATACTTAAGGATAAATAGAACATACACAGAATTCAACACATAGGAATCACTTCCATGTAGAAGTACTTGAACATTTAAATGGTAAAAAAATTTTGTTTATATTAGGAAAAGTATGTAAGTTTTTTCTATAAAAGAAATGTTTCTAGAAGATAGTTTGTTGTTAAAGTGCATTTTTGTGTAGTTGTGATCACATATGCAAGTTTCTGTTCTCTTTTAACGTAACATGATTAGTATAATATGTCATAAATTCCCTGTAGATGCAAATTTTCTATTTAAGCATTTTCCTGATGTTGGATGTTTAGATTGTTTTCAACATGAATTTTCTAAGTTTTTCCCTAAGTTGGTTGATACATAGTCCACCACAGATAAATTTGTGCTTACTGTGGGAAGAATGGAATCAACTGTTTGCTTGTAGAGCATGGAATTGATGTTGGTTAAAGATTGAACTTCAAGAAATGTGACTTTTATTTCGTTTTTAAAAATCAAAATGGCATATGCTTTTGTTTATTTGCTATTCATGAACATCTTATGAAATCTTTTCTTGGCCCCTTAGATGTCTGAGTTCTGCTAGTCTAATAGAATTGAGTACTCCTCTGTTGTCCCCTAATACTCAGTATGTACATATCTGTCATAGTCTCCACAAACTTTTTTTTTCTTCTTTTTACACTTCTTATTTACATGTCTCTTGCCTGCTATCAGACTGGGAAGGGACTTTGTCTTGTGACTTTATATACCTAATCACTAGCATAGTTAAGTATGGTACCTAATATGTAATAAATGTGGTAGTAGAGATCTATTTTAATAATTGCAATATCAGTTTTCTTTATAGAAAAGCCAATTTATACTTGAAGATGTGATTATTTCTGAGACAGTCATCCTTTGTTACTTGTTCAGCTAATTAGTAAGGTACGAGACTGGCCTGCTTGAGTGCAAATGTGAGACAAGAAAGGAGTGATGGTGTTAACCAGTTTTCTGCTCACTTGACAGGTGTGGGATTATGAGACTGGAGATTTTGAACGAACTCTTAAGGGGCATACAGACTCTGTACAGGACATTTCATTTGATCACAGCGGCAAGCTTCTGGCTTCCTGTTCTGCAGATATGACCATAAAACTATGGGATTTTCAGGGCTTTGAATGCATCAGAACCATGCACGGTAAGGGGTAGAGGATAGTACTTTAACGGTGATTTCTAACATGGTATTTTAGAGAGAATATTGTTTTCTAACAGTGTGCAGGTTTCCTTATTCAACTCTTAATTGTCTGTATCTGTGGAGGAACGTATAATGTAG